ATACAAGAGAGATGATTGTTCACAGAATAACCTGTGAACTTTCACCCCTCTGTATGGAAACTTGTTTCAGGGCCAAATCCTTGTAGCTGCCTTCTTGCCCTGGTCAGTGCCAGCCGTACTATTCACAACCCTGCTGCTACCGAGGCCTAGGTATGTAAACGCTTAAGGAGTTTTCTAAGTCTTTAACATCAAGCCAGGCTCTACAAGAGTTCACATTTGGTTATACTCAGGGTATTTTATGTGCTTACCTTCTGCTTACTACATGTAAATTTATTGTTTCTTAGGGACTATTTAAGTAAACATTTGATACTTGCTTTATAGTAGAATGGGGAAGAAAACTGGATGACAGATAATTGTTTGCTTCTTCAGTGTCCAAACTATTTTAAAATAATTTCCAGGCTTTATTCATAAACTAGGTATACCTGAGATAATAATATTGACTGTTTTAACATTGCCTTCTTTTTATTTTGCAAGCTAAGAAGAGATACCAGTGAACCTAAATAGTGGACGAAAACAGGAATGCTCTTTTTGTTGTTGTTGTTTTGGAGGGGGGCACTGAGGGGCAACTGTTGAAATTGCCATTTGACTTTCAGAGTGTTGGTAATTATTGTCATTAGAGCATGCGCTACAGAATGTATGAGTATAGAAGAACATAAATTAATGCTACTTCAGATAGAAGTAAAGTAAGATTTCTTTTTAAGTTACATTAACTTTGTTCAGTTCTAACTGTAGAATGGGGGCCTTTTCCCTTTTTTCTTTGGACAGGATCAGTTCCTAAGAGCAGCCCCAGTCACCGGGGGGATGGGCGCTGTCCTGATGAGGAAAATGGGCTGGAGAGAAGGAGAAGGGCTAGGGAAGAACAAAGAAGGGAATAAGGAGCCCATCCTTGTTGACTTTAAAACAGACCGGAAAGGTAAGTTCTGTGTGATGTGACAGCTTGCATTGTGTTAGTTATTATGAAAATCTGTATGAGTTTTGAATAATTAAATTTAAGGAGATAAGTTGGGCGGTGGTGGCACACGTCTTCAACCCCAGCACTCAGGAGGCAGAGGCAGGCGGATATCTGATTTCAAGACCGGCCTGGTCTACAGAGTGAGTTAAAGGACAGCCAGGGCTACACAGAAACTCCAGTCTTGAAAAACAAAAAACAAAACAAAAAAAAAAAAAATTTTTTTTTTTCTTTTGCTCTTAATGGAGACCAGCATATATGCTTGCTTGTTATTCTTTGATTTTCTACATTTATTTAGTGCATGTGGGTGCAGGCATGGAAATCTTCCTGGTCCATTGTTTTTTAATGATTTATATATGTGGGTATCGTGTGTGTGTGTGTGTGTGTGTGTGTGTGTGTTTGCTGCACATGCATGCCCACTGCCCGTAAGGCCCTGGGACCGAAGCTCAGACAGTTTGACAGTTTTTGTGGGAATGATGGAGTTAGGGCGCTCTGGAGAGGACCGGTGCTCCTAACTGTGGAGCCATCTCTCCACTTGTTTGCTTGTGTTTTGGAGACAAGGTCTTGCTGGGTCTTGGCTGGCCGTCTCTCGTGTAAGGTACAATTACAGGCCTACGATATCACCACCCTTGGGTTGTTCCTTTGTCTTTATTCCTAAGGTGTGACCCGCGCCCCCCCCCCCCCCATCTCCCTTAGACACTTTACATCGTTTCCACTCCCTGAAGCGTTTTTGCCTGTCTTTTCAAACCTTACTATTTATGTTGTGGGTGAAAGCACAGATCAGCTAAGGTCAGCAGTGTTAGGTCGGCATTACCTCCTCTTGGGGCACCTTGAACTCTTATTGCTGTTAGTATACACTCAATGTAGAATCACAGCAGGTTGCCAGCTCTTATTATTTAAGCCTTTATTTACTTACTCACTTTTTTCTAAGGTAGGGGCTAAGCATGGTGGTGCAATGCCTTTGATCCTAGCAGAGGCAGGCAGATCTCTTAGTTTGAGGCCACCCTCGTTTACAGAGCAAGATCTAGGATAGCCATGGCTGCACAGAGTCAACAACAAAACAGCCTTTAATCTTAGCACTCTGGAGGCAGAGGCAGGCATATTTCTATGAGTTTCAGGCCAGCCTGATGTATATACAGTGTGTTCTAGGATAGCCAAAGCCACACAGCCAAAGCCACACAGAGAAACCCTGTCTCAGAACAAAAACAGGAAACAATCGGTCATATAGCCTGTTAGCCTTCTCTCTCTCCCCCCCCCCCCAATCTGTTACCTTAGACTAATCAAATTCTTGGATTACACACATGCGCTACCAGTATAGTTTGGCCTGTTGTTCAGAAACTGGACTTATTTTGAAGTTCAACAATAAGTTGGAGTTAAATTTTAATGGGCCTGGTAAATAGACTAACTGTGAATCCAATTAGTACTTCATAATTCTAGGGAACATCCACATTGAAATTATGCAGCACAATGTGTACACTTCCTAAAACAGGTTTGAGGGGAGATGAATATACTAGCGTGTACCTGGTGACGGAGTGGCTGACAGCTTCAGCACTGTGGAGAAAACGCTGTTGGGTTATGACATTGTTATCACTGTGGCGTATAGGGAGGGTTTGCATTTGTTAAGAAAGTAAGTAGTTGCTATGATAAAGGATCTTACCTTTGGGACACTAACTTTTTCACTGGGTGTGCCTTTATTCTTCACATTGTATTTTAAAAGGTGAATTTGCAAAGTTACTTGTAGTTAGTAGCTGTAGTTAGTAGTAGTAGTAGTTAGATGCTGACAGTCAGTCCCATGACCCTTTCCTAAGTCCTCACATTGTGTCTGTAGGCAGGTTAGAGAGCAGACAGCCTATGCTGTTCCTCAGCCACCATCCTCCAGGGAGTCTGGATGGCCAGTAATCCCCAGGGACCCACCCCGTCTGTCTCCCTAGTGCTGGAATGCTGGAATTACAAGTGTGTGCCAGCAATAGTGGGCTCTGGGATCCAGCTCAAACCATTATGGTGGTGCTTTGTGACGGAGCTATTCCCTACCCCTTAAGTAGGTTTTCGTAGGTGTATGATTGTAAAGTTTTATTGGGAGGCATGGGTTTTTAGGCTTTCCATAATTGGGAAAAAAAAAAAATAATGCTGTAAATTTGGCTTTCTTTTTTAAAGGTCTTGTTGCAGTAGGAGAGAGAGCACAAAAGAGGTCTGGGAATTTCTCTGCTGCCATGAAAGACTTGTCAGGTGAGAACAAAACCCTGTTGAATTCTTCTTGTCTTACCATACCTTGAAATCATAAGTTGTTGCAAAGAGTGTGGAAACCTTTTATAACTAGTTGTTTCTCTCTCTCTAGGCAAACATCCTGTGTCTGCCTTGATGGAAATCTGTAATAAAAGAAGGTGGCAACCACCTGAATTTCTTTTGGTCCATGATAGTGGCCCTGATCATCGAAAACATTTTCTCTTTAGGGTAAGTATGAACTTACATACTAATTATTTATCAGTGTTAGAGGGTTAAGGGATAGGTGTGGTATAAACATAGTGTTAATATTCTGTGGGTGGATTACAGCTGTGCATATGTGTGGGTAGAGTGGGTTTTTAACTTAGAAGGGTACTGTAAATTATTAAAGGGGAGGGGATGGGCAAAGTCTGGCTAACATTTAGCATTTTCTTGGGGAGTGTGGGGTAGTTAGTACATTTAGAGTGCTTCTCGTTGCTAAATGTGGGGATCTGCAGATATTCTGCATTCCCTTTTTAAAATCACTTACTGCTTTGGGACTAAGATTAATTTATATAACTTGGGGTTTATAATTTATAAATTAGTTTTAGAATTTAGTGAAAAAGTACAAAGCTAATAGATATTAAAGTTTGATGCTGTTCTTATTGTATGTTTTTCTTGAATAGGTATTGAGAAATGGAAGCCCTTACCAGCCCAATTGTATGTTTTTCTTGAATAGGTATTGATAAATGGAAGCGCTTACCAGCCCAGCTTTGCCAGCCCTAATAAGAAGCATGCTAAAGCCACAGCAGCTACTGTGGTTCTTCAAGCAATGGGCCTTGTACCAAAGGACCTCATGGCTAATGCCACTTGCTTCAGGAGTGCCTCACGTAGATAGATTGAGGTTTTATATTAATCATTTCAGATAATTTTACTCTGCATCACAATGTATTTCCTCCTTAATGTTGTAAATATTTCACAATTTAAGACATTGTGTAAAAAGCAATCTGTACAAACATCTCCAGGCTTTGGCTTTTGTACCATGGAAATTGTATTTAACCATACAGGGTTTTGGTATGTTTATATTGTTTACTTTAGTGATGTATTTGTTTTAAGTGGCTAACATCAAAACAATTGTTTGAAGGCACCAGTAATATTCAGTGTGGAATGTTAAATAATGCTTTTATACTGTATTTTGTACTATGATGTAACTCCCCTTCCTTATGGCTAGGCTGCTGTAACACTTGCCTGTAATCAGTGAAGGGCTGTGCACCTTGTACTATTTCACAATGGGTTCTGCTGGACAGAGACTGGGCCAGTGTTATTAAGGTAATGAAGTAAGATCTGTTCCACAGGGCTATGCCACCATCTCCCCTTAAGTTTTGTAGAGGTTGTGAGAAGAGAGTTGATACGTTGTGTCATGATCAGCACTAAGTCCTCCATCCCCATTAAAGCCACTTGGGTCATAAGAAGGGAGTCACAATGGCAGTCCAACTAGCATTCTACTTCAGAGGTCAAGTACATGTTTAGTATGGCTTGAGTTGTGATATACTTTTACTTTGATGTGCATTTTGAATTTCAGCTACACCTAGATAGACGTAAATAATAAAAATGCTGTAACCAACTTATCTAATAAAAATTGGCAACCAGCCACTATTTTGTTGACTATGAGAAAGTTTAAGTTTATGTTAATTTTTAGGGTCTGATAGAATATTCATGTGTATTACAGTGGTATTCATATGCTATGTCTCTAAACTTTATTTTCAAAAGCTCAAGGCCCAAATACAACCTTCTCTGGAATAAGTGTGGTGTCTTATTCTCTGACTTTATGAAAACATAACTAAGTACTATATATAATTTGTTAACCCAATGACTTCTATGCGCGTTTATTTAAAAATGCTGAGTTTTATACACACATGCAAACACAGAGTACCTGTAAACACAGTGAGTACTAACTTCCCATGACTGAGTGACTGACCATCCAACACTTGGGGGGATACCAAAGATGGACTGGACAGGAGGAGCTAGAGGTCACCAGTGTCCATTCTGACAGGAAGCGCCAGCTTTGCGGCAGTGTCTGCGTCCCCGCGTCTCTAAAGACCCTACCAGGAAGGTGCATGAGATGCTTTTCTCAGAAAGGGCATCTCATGTCTCCTTCGTAGCGACACTCACTTTTAATTCAGGGTTCTAGTCAGGTTACAGTTATTATCAAAGATTTACGCATGCATCTTCAGATATGAAAATAATAAAAGCAAAACATTGATTTTAAACCTAATGCTAATGCATGTAATGAAAGTTAATGTTAAAAAACACATCAGTATTTTAGAACACATTATTCCAAACTGAGCCAGAGGCTTAAAAACTGTCAACTTCCTTCCTTGCTAGGAAGCTTTTCCTCAGTTTCCCTTTACGCTTACTTTGGTGTTCAGGATCTCCAGTTAAAAATGTAGTCACTCATTTCCACATTCCGTAAGGATGACTTCCCCAGCAGTGGTAGCTGACTGAGTTGCTCCAGGGTTTTGGGGTGTAGCCCACAGTTAGCAAGGTCCTTATGAACAACTTCCTACAAGATACAAGTCCACATCCATAAACACCATAAAGAATGGGAAATAAATGGCTCATTCACTTCATCATGCCTAAAGTTGATCCTAACACACTCTCTAGCTGGAAAAAAACTAATAGATCCTTACTTATTTTTTGCCAGTCTATTAAAACTGACAGGTACCAGGTCAATTAAGGACTGTTAATTTACTTTATAAAGCCTAAATAGAGATGGCTAGAATTCAAAGGAAATCAGTTAAGTAGGGCTGGGTGGTGACCAGAGCTGTGGAAAGAGCAATGCAGCATGAGTCATCCATCACCCCTGGCCTCCACGCCTATGGCCACTCCCCACTCGTGTACCTAAGCATGCACACAGAACTGTAACTGTGGAGACAGGCTCCATAAACTACAAAGGAATCCCGCATCACTAAACTTCAGTTGTGACAGCATTAAGTGCTTCATAGGTTTGTGAAGTTTGTAGTATTGCCTGAATTAATAAATCTTATGATGTGCATATGGCTATTCCTTAATTCATAACTTGCTTTCTAACTGGATACAAACTTGGCATATCATTTCAGTGACACTTCTAGTAAGGGGACACAAGCTACAACAGTCTACTTACTCTATTCAGGTCTCTACCCGGTGGCAGGCGGACATTGAACACAGCTGTTGGCTCATGTGCATATATCCCAGCAGAGAATGACCCTCTCTGTGAAGATCGGAGTAGCATGGTCACAGAATGCAGAGCATGAGGCATGATGGGACCTGTGATCTCCAAACTACACTGATCTCTGTATCCAGAAAGAGCGTGCGTCTTTATGTTCATGCTTCGTGCCTTCAGAAAATTTAAACAGACAATTAGCATCAAACCTTAATTTGTCCCTTAGTTGAAGATGTGTTCAGTGGATCTTTATTTGGGGTTTCTTCTGCCAGGAAACAGGAACTACTTTTGTTTCCTAAGACTACAATATAGGTAGCTTCAATCTCCTGTTTCTGAGACCTGTAACGTTTTTGGGTATACACACTGGTATCTACACGAAGTGGGTCAAACAACTTTTTCTAGAAGGACAAGTGAGAAAGTGAACACCAGAAGGTTTTGTTACCAAGTATAATTTATACAGTATGAAAAGAAAATCACAAAATTCGCTGAGCACTTGGGAAGTGATGGCAGAAAGGTCAAGAATCCAGGGTCACCTCCACTACAGTGAGTTTGACGCTAGTATGTGATAGAGGTAAGTAAGTGTACTCTGAGACGGCCTCATCACAGGCGACCTTGAACTCCTGCTCATCCTGCCACCACCATAGCTCGTAAGCAATTTTAATTTTAATGCAGAAAGAACAAAACTCCTGGGAATGTAGCTGAGGATACAATGTTTGCCAATATGCCCCAAACCCCTTGGTCAATCTTAGTGCTGAAAAACAAAGCCCAAATTGTTCTAGAACAATTTAAAAAATCACCAAGATTTATGTGTATAAATTTTATTGTTTTGAGATGGTTCTCACTATGTGGTCCTGGCTGTCCCAGAACTCAATAAGATCCGCTTGCCTCTGCCTCCCAAGTGCTGGGATTAAAGGTGTAGCAACCACATTGTATCTGTATCTGTTAGGAGGCAGGACACCCTTGAAACTGGACTTACTGATGGCTGAGTCGTCATATTGGTGACGAGAACAGGAGTTGGGTCTTCTATAAGAGCAGCAAGTGCTATTTTTTTTTTCTTCCCTACAGTTCATTTTTAAAAAAGATTATGTATACAGTGTTCTGTCTGCATGTACCCCTTCAGGCCAGAAGAGGGCGCCAGATCTCATTACAGATGGCTGGTTGCTGGGAAATCAACCTAGGACTGCTGGAAGACCAGCTAGTGTTCTTCACCACTGACCCATCTCCGCAATCCCTAGAGTACTTTGTAAAAAATTTATTTTAGGTGTATGAGTGAGTAGTCTGTGTGCATGCACAACTTTATGCCAGAAGAGGGTATCACATCCCACTGCAGATGGTTGCTGGGAACTGAACTCAGAACCTCTGGAAGGGCAGCCAGTTAGCCATCTCTCCAGTCCCAAATTATTTTTTTTAAATTGAGAATTTGAGCTAGGAATGGTATCACATGCTTTTAATCCCAGCATTCGGGAGGCGGAGGCAAGTACATATCTGTACGCTTGAGACCAGAGTGGTCTATGTAGCCAGTTCCAGAACAGCCAAGGTTATACCGAGAGCCTGTCTTTATAAATCAAGACCTAAAGTAAGCCAGTGCCTTTAGAGAAGGGAGCACCACACTAAGAGCTGGCCTGCAGGTGAAGTCAACTCACTCACCTTCAGCATGTGCATGGAGGCACCCCGGAAGGCTACCGGGGACAAAAGTGTTGGGGGGAGGCCTGCCTGCGCACCGGAAGTGGCAACTAAGCTCTTGCAGTTGATCAAAAAATTGAGCAATGTGAAGGTGTTGAGTCCTTTCACCAGGACGACAGATTCAGGCCTGTGATCCATTTGCACTTCATGTTTTTCTCTAAGTCTAAGAATGACAATCAAGGAAAGAGAGAACAAAAATACAAACAAACAACCAAACAAATAAAAAAAAAAACAACAAACAAACAAACAAACCAAAAACCCCCCAAAACACAAAAAATAAAAACAACCCACAAAAAAACAAACATAAAACCCATACCAGTGCACATAGCTACCTTGACTCCAGATGCCTGGGGTCTATTGTCCCATTTCACAGGTCCAGTGAAGTGCTCACCATTTGAATGTGGTAGACTGAAACCAGGACCAACACGGACTGTCCGTGTCCAGGGCTAAACCACCAACTCAACCAAGGCTCTTCATAGCAACAGAAAGGATACAGCTTGATAGAGTTCAGGTCTGGCTTTCTGATTTGATCTTGCACACCTATCTCTTCCAGCCAAGAAAAGCTCTCCTCTTCGTCTTCATCGCTGGCCGCCTGCTCCCTAGGAAACTGCTTGTTAGCAAAGATTCACAGAGCCGGTGCTTCCACAGCTCATTTCACCGAGCTCCAATTAGGGAATTCACACATTAGGGACTATGTAAAAGTTTACGCCATCACGTACTCACACTCCTGGTTTCCTGCTCGCACTTTTCTCTTATGGCCACTTTCTTCTAGCAAAGGCAGAGAGAAGTCAATACCTGCACCAGAAAAGAAAACATGACTCCACTTTCTTCCATTAACCAGGGTTACTACTGCTGGGGTTTTCTAGCAAAAGGGCTGTGTCTCTACCCTTCCCTCCCTCTCCTGATCCACTAATTGATGGGTTATTAAAGGGGGAGGTTGGATAATTCAAAGTATTAGAGAATCTAGGACTGGTGAGGTGGTTCAGCAGGTGGAGTGTGCCGAGTCTTAGGACACCTGAGTTCACTTCTGGGGACTCACATGGTAGAAGAAAAGAAATGACTTTTACAAGCTCTTCTCTAACCTCCACATGCGTGCTGAGCTGTGTGTATGTGTGTGTGTTCACAGAAACACACACATGCAAAAATGTTTCACAGCGCCAAGCATATTCACTGAGAAGTGACTTTTTGGACCTACTGTGTGCATTATTTCATCGATAAGAAAAAGGAGCATAATGAAGTTTAGCTACATTTTAGAAATAACTTTACCAACAGGGAGAAAGGAAATAAAAAAGACTACATCTCTTTAAATCATAACATTAGTAAAAGACCATGGAAAGTTTTTTTTTTTTTTTTAAATATCCTATTTTATGTGTGTAGGTGCTGACCTCTGTGTACCACTGTGCACCTGGTGCCTCTACTGGCCAGCAGAGGGCACTGGAACCCTGCAACCTGAGTTACAGATGGTGTTAGCCACTATGTGGGTGACAGGAAGATGACAGGGTCATCTGGAAGAGCAGCCATCTCTCTCAGGCAAGAGGGATCCTCAACCGTGAACCTAAATCGTTACCTTCATTTTTCATAGCTTCTCTCAGACCTCTAGTTGTAGGCGATATGAGTGCTGTGATCACGTCACTTCCGGCTAATCCTGCTGCCCGGAACAGGACAGTAAACTGGTAGGTACAAACGTAGAAAAAGGGACAAAGCTTTGTCCTCAACAGATTATACAAAGAAGTGAGACTCACAGACCTGTGAAACAAAAGCAGATTTTCAGGTGTTAAAATACCTTAAACTTAATTCCATCTAATTTAGCCTGACAAGTAGATAAAAACTTTTCAAATACTGAGTCAAGTTTCTGCAGCTGTGAGTGCATGCCGATGATTCAAGTACTGTGTGCATGGGACCAAGCACAGGCTCTTCAGGCATTGGGAACTGGCTACAGACCCGGAGCAGGCCCTGATGAAAGAGCATCAGCTGAGCAGGAAACCCTGAAGACGCAGGCCTGTCTGTATGTTAATCTAATACAGACATTTGATAGAGACAAAGTTGGAAAAAAAAGCAAACTTATTAAAACCTGGACATGAACAGCTTCAGATAAGGAACACAAGGAGCCACACCCTTTCAATACCACCCAAGAACCCTGCTACTGAACTTTACCTCTGGAATGCACACCTCTACTAACTTACCAGTCACTCATTAGAGTATGTTGCAGAGTTTCATCGTTTGACCACGGACTTGTCTTTCCAGCCATTTTCCTATCAGCTCCAATTCGAGGGAACAGTGGCAGCCATGAAAAGGCAGGGTGAACCCAGTAGACAAGGGTCTGCTGGAAGGCACAACGCAGCTCAGTTGAGAGCTTGGGATCCTAGATTCCGGTGGGGAGAAGGGGGGGGGGGTTACTCATTAGAGGCCATCTTGAATCCAAGCACTCAGGAGGAAGGCAGATCTCTGTGAAGCCGGGCTGATCTACATATGAATCCCATGAAAGCTCAAACACTTGTCTCACCAGCCCACCCCCACAATTATTTATTTACTTTTGATTTTTCAACACAGGCTTTCTCTGTGTAACAGCTCTGGCTGTCCTGCAACTTGCTCTGTGGACCAGGTTGGCCTCAAACTCAAAGATGCACCTGCCTCTGCCTCCTCAGTCCTGGGATTAAAGGCTTGCGTCACATTGGCCCGCCAAGATTTTTATTTTTAATTGTACGTGTGCCTGCAGTCTGAACACATCTTCTGTGCAAGAACAGTATGTTCCTGTAATCACTGAACCATCCTTCCAACACAGTCTAAGAATTTCTAGTGCTTTTTATTGGGAAGCATTAGCAACGGTCAGAGGTTAGAGTGCAGTCCACCTCTGCTTTCTGGACAACAGTGTGCTGGAGCATGGTCACAAAGAGCTCACACACATACTGGAGCCCTGTCTCTGCCTTTCCCTAGGCATTCAGATGATGGGGGGAGGGTGTGAATGCACAGAGTACTCACATTCTTTCCACACCAAGGAGGAGGGGCCTCCCTCTCCCCCAAGGAACACAGTCTCAGAAACTGTAAGCCCAGGGCAGGGTGAACTACAAATCATCTTCATTTCCTGAGACCTATGTCTCAAGTCCTATTTCAAGTAAACCTTTATAACCTAGTTTGCGCAGCTGAGCTGCTTCAAGGTAATTACTGAGACCATTCTAGACCTCACTAATTCTTTAGTTTATTAAGAACCACAGTGTGGCTAGGTGTGGTGGTTGCACACCTTTAGTCCAGCACTCAGGAGGCAAAGGCAGGGTACGTCTATGAGTCTGAGGCCAGCCTGGTCTACAGATCGAGCTCCAAGACAGTCACGGCTACAAAGTGAGACCTTGTCTTGGGAACAAAACAAAACAAAAAAAAAACCCAACATAACAGTTCCCCACCCCAAAACCAGAGTAACTCAGTAGCTTTTCATGATTTCTTAGAAGCTACAAAGGGATGGTGTAGAGAAAATGATGCTTGTCTATACTTCTGACTTCAGTAGTCTCTACCTAACAAACTGAGTGTGAAAGTACCTTTTGGGAGAAATGAATTGTCAGATTTTGAGTCTACACCTGTCAGAAGAAGAACAGCTTAAGAGAAAGCAGTGTGTGGATTTTAAGGACAAATCCTTCTACACTTAGTTTGAAACACTACCATAGACTCCTGGGCTGCTGTGTGAGGCTCAGTGGTTAAAAGAGCCTACGTTCGGATCCCCGCACCCACGCAACAGGTTGGGACTGGCCTGTGAATGCCTGTGTCCCAGCACTGAGTGAGCAGGGACAGGGACAGCACTGATGCTTGCTGGCCACCAGGCTAGCTACAAAATAGTAGCTCCAGGCTTACAGACCTCATTCCAAAGAGAAAAGAGGACACGGGACTGTATCCTTTGGCCTCTGTCCATATACCTGCCTGAGTGGCTGTGGGGGCGCGCATGCACACACACTCGAACACGCACACATACATATAAAAATGCATACACACACGCACACACACTCACGCACTCGAACACGCACACATACATATAAAAATGCATACACACACGCACACACACTCACGCACTCGAACACGCACACATACATATAAAAATGTACACACACGCATACACACACATACTCGAACATGCGCACACACGAACATCCGCACACACACGCATACACACACTCACACAAACGTTCACACACGCACACTCGAACACGCGCACATACATATAAAAATGCATACACACATGCACACACACTCACACACACATAAAAATGCACACATATGCTCCTTCCCTCGCAGGCTCCTTCATTTCGGACTTACCTGTACACTCTGGGGTAAGGTGACCTCTGCCGCCCTACAATGCTGGACAAGCCCTCTGGCTTCTTCCTGTGCCTTCAAATGATCTGCCCAGGAAAAGGGTTGAGGAGAGGTGACAAGGAGTCGGGTTTTAATACTCCAGTCCGCAGGTAACTCAGTACCTTCTGAAGGAGTCGTATCTGACTCAGAGAATATGTGTTGACTCTTTTAGAAAACAAAGAACACAAAAATTAGAATTTCAAGAATATTCTTTTAATATAAAAATCTTAGTTATTCTACTCCTGATCACTAAGTGTCAAAATTTATGCATGGTCCAACATCAAAAATATATTTCACCTGAGAAGTCTAGAAGAAGGCAAACCAAGCTAATAAGAGGGCTTGGGCCAGGGAGATGACCCTGCAGGTAATGCTAAGCCTGAGCATCTGCGATGGGATGAGAGAACTCAATGAATAAACTAAATAAACAAAAAGTTCAGTGGGGGTGGTGCTGGAGGGATGGATCTCACTTTTCAGTTTTTACAGTTCTATCTAGTACTACAGACAACAAAGCAGACAGGCTAAGCAACCTGGGCAGAACTCAAAGGATTTAAAAAAACATTTCCGAGGTGGGGGGAAGCAGTGCTGAAGAGATGGCTGGTCTTCCAGGGGTCCCGAGTTCAAGTCCCAGCACCCACAGGGTAGCTCACAACCATCTGTAATGAGATTTGGTGCCCTCTTCTGCCATGCCAGAACACTGGATACATAAAAAAATAAATCAACTAAAAACGAAAACAAAACAAAAAACATTGGCCACAACCAACCTACTGTTCAAGTCTACCTTCTCTAGATCACAAGGGTCCCTCCCCTTAGGGAATTATCACAAGAAAATACCCTCCCTCCGGAAGACCGAAAGCCAGTGTGGATCTTGGAACTCTTTCAACTTGTTCTCATTAGGGCATACTATCTGTCTGCCGCGAGTGGGCAGCCCCCAATGCAGCTCCGCACCAGACTCCTTGCAGGAAGCCCTGGGTTTGATCCCCAGCATAAATAAAGCAGGCCTTGGCCACCACAGCCCACACCTATTATCACGACACAGGGCCTCACGTGGTCCAGCCTCAACTGTCTGTGTTCATAGGATCATCTCAAACTTTGGGCAATCCTTCCTTCAGTCCCTCTGACGTGTGCGCCATATTTGTGTGATGCTGGGGATCCAATCCAGAGGCCCCTTGCACACCAGGCAAACATTTCACAAACCGAGCTACAGTCCCAGACTTCAAACTTGTTACTGAAATGAATTTTGAGAACTATTGCGTGGGCTAGGCCATCAAGGGGGCTGAGCAGGTACCGGCCCCTGCCTCTGAGCTGGACTGAGCTGGAGCTCAGCCCCGCCTGGAGCTGGAGCCCACACGGTTGGAGGGACTGACCTGCACTTAAACAACTGTGGCCCTCACACGGACAAAGTACCTGAGACAGCTCGGTGACAGCTCTCTCGTGAGCCGCTTCCTCCCACAGCAAGGCATTTTCCCCATTAGAATCTAAATGCTGAGGGAAAAAAAAAAAGTTGATTTAAAACATAAGCGATGATGAGGGGACTGGCTTAAACACGTAAGGCCTCACCTGGCACAAGTCTCAGGAGAGTGGGGGACTCGAACCCATACCCTACCCACGTTTGTTTCACCTCGGCCTTGTGTGTGAACTTAGCAGAAGGGGAGGAAAGGCCAGGCCGACACATTAACAAACGGTGACTCCTAACCTTAGGCCGAGAGAGCGGAGCGCTCGTAAACCGAGACCCACTCACCCTCCGCGGCCCTCGGGGCCCGGCCGGGGCAGGGACCCGCAGGGTCTGAGTCGCCTTGGGCATCGGGCGCCCTGAGGACTTTCCCGGCGCCGGGCCGCGGCGGCTGTTCGTGCCCACCCCCGCCCCGACACCCGGCCGCCCGGCGCCGAGACTCACCGGGCCCGGAGCCGCCTGCGGGCCCCGGGGCGGCTCCTCGCGGGCCGCCCGCGGCCGGTTGTCCAGGCGGGCGAAGGGGTTCCTGCGGGCTCCGGCGCCGCCGCCGCCTCTGCCGCCCGCGGCCGGGAAGGGGCGCAGGGGCAGCCCGGCCGCCAGCGCGGCGCGGCGGGGCGCGGGCTCCGGCAGCGCCGAGGGCGGGGCGGCGCCGCGGCCCCGAGGCCTCTTCCGGCGGAGCCGCACGACCTCCGGCGGCCTCTTGAAGCTGGGCGAGTAGCCGGGCACCGGCACAGCCATTGCGCAGCGCGGAGGGACCCGCAGCCCGGCCGGCGCTTCCCGCGCGCCGCGGCCCCGCCCCGCCCCGCCCCGCCCGGGCATGCGCGCTCGGCCGCCCCGCCCCGCCCCGCCCGGGCATGCGCGCTCGGCCGCTCCGCCCCGCCCCGCCCGCAGAGCCTCTGGCGTGCGCAGCCCGGGGCGCTCCTTCGGCCGCGCTGCTGCGGGGCGGGGTCGCCCGTCAGCCCCGAGGGCACGGAAGGGATCAAGGCCGCTTTAGTCTGCAGCGGCGGCGGGGGCGGCGGCGGGGCCGCCCCGGGAACGGAGCCTGGGCCGCAGGCTTGAGCCGGGTGATGGGTGGGCAGCTGCTCTCCCAGAGAAGCCGCAGTGTCATTCCGATGGGCCGAGGCCTTGCTGCACCCCGTGCCCACAGGGCAGTACCCCCACGCTTCAAGCTCCCTGTCCCCAGTGCCCGCCACTCCAGCGCCACCACTCCAGGACCAGAACCACGATTCTGTATGATCTTGGAGAAATTCGGAGTGAATGAATATTTAAAAAAAAATTTTAAATGCCAATGGATTACTCTGAGATCAGAAAATACACTCATATGCTAAAACAAAGGCTTGTTAAGGAAGGCGTTGAGAATGTAGCAGGTACAACATCAAATCACATTTTCATGCTACAGCAAAAGCTTGGGACAGATGCTGTGATGGATGTGTGACTTTTGCTGAAAGCAGTTTTCTTTATGGAAAGGATTTTATAGCAGAGGCAAAATGTACAGGTACAATAACAAAAGGAACACTTTTGGAATATCCCCTTCAGATGTTAAAAAAAATAATTAATTTTGCAAGAATTTTTCAAATATGTCAAATAACCAAACGTCTTACTATGGCTGGAAAACAGGCTTAAAAATAGAAAAAACTTGTTTCATCTTCCTTGATTTTTCTCAACAATTTCCAAAGAAAACTGGCTTCATATACTGGCATGGGTGCATCCAACTGAGGTCTGGGAAGGAAAATTAAAATTGAACAACTTGCTTTTTTCTTTCTTGATTTCTCTGAACAACTTCCATGGAAGCTTTTGCCTCATACAGTGGGATGGGTTCATCAAGTAGCGGTCTGTGGAGGAAGAACGATTGGACACGTCAGGCACGGGCACAGGTGAACACGCGATGTTGCAGATCACACATCTGGCTATAGTCCAATTGTGTTCCTCTGAATAATCCAAACAGCTTGGTGGTGCCAAACACCTTTGGTCTAGCACTGGCCATGCAGAGACAGGTGGATCTGTGAGTTCCACATCAGCCTGACCTATTCAGCTATCAAAATAAATGAAAATAAAATTCAAACAAAATTACAAACTCATCCATTAATATTTTTATAGTTTAAAAGTAGTAATTCTCTCTCTCTCTCTCTCTCTCTCTCTCTCTCTCTCTCTCTCTCTCTCTCTGTGTGTGTGTGTGTGTGTGTGTGTGTGTGTAGTTTTTCAAAATCCTGAACTCACTTTGGAGACCAGGCTGGCCCCGAACCCACAGATCCACCTATCTCTGCCTCCCAAGTGCTGGCATCAGAGGCATGTGCCAGACTGCCTTTTACTTTTTTTTTTTTTTTTTTTTTTTTTTTTTAAAGACAGGGTTGGTCTTGTTAGATAGCCCACTATGGCCTAGAACTCATGATCACTGCCTTAGCTCACAACATTGAGCTAAATGTGTTGAAGTTTTCAAAGGAAAATATATCACTCAATCCCTTTACTTTGCAGGTGATACCAAAACCCAATTTAAACAAAGTTGGTCCTTCAGATTCTCTGGCAGGAGGGACAAAGGCAAGGGAGAGGGGAGAGGCAGGACAGAATTGAGGGGAGAAAAGGCACGAGATAAAACCCTCTGGGAGAGCCCCTTGGTGTACAACCAGTCCATTCTGAGAAATGTGAGTGTGGCTGGTCATCTGAAATGAGTAGAAACAGGCACTATGTACACCATAAAGCTGGGATAGAAACACTGCCCACTTTCCCTTGAGAACAGAAAAACAACAAAGATTTCATTTTGGTTTTTGCCATACCTGAAAATACCAGCCGATAGCTTCTCCATCACATCTCTTAAGATGCGTAATTGGAAGGGTTGTTAAGGTGGCAGCTTAACAGGGAGGGAATGAAATAAGCCACTACGGAAACAAGATGCCGGCCTGGTGTCACCTCTGTTTTTCTTTTAAAAAGTAAGTTTTGTAAGTGGTATTACAGAGACTAGAAACCGTCAATCACTTCTGAAACAAACGTATGGTTTGAGAGAACTGGGGTGTGACATGAACTTCTAAAGACAAGCGGCGAGATCAGCAAGCTTCAAGCAGGCAATGACCAAGATTACCCCCAAAGGACGGTTTGTGGAATAATACAATGTTTTCATTCATGCACTGTGCATGGTATTCAGCGCTTACATCTCTTACAGGAAATACACATTTGTCAATTAGTTTGGTTGATATCAGGTCCAATTTGTTTGCATTAATTCATTTATTTCAAAAGTGTGGAAAAAGCTAATTGATATGTATCTATTTATGGTAGTTTGAATGAAAAATGCCCCCCCCCCATGTATTTGAGGGCTTGGTCTCCAGTTAGTTGTGTTCAGGACGTTATGGAACCTTTAGTTCAAGGAAGTACTTCGTGGGGCAGGCTCTGCTGGTTTTATGGCCTCATCTCTTTTCCTGCTTGCTCTCTGCTTCCCATGTGTAGATAAAGATGTGTTAACCCAGGTTCCTGCCCCACTGCCAAGCCATGCCTCCTAGCCCTGCCTCCTAGCCCTGTGGACTCTATCCCTCTCGAACTGTAAGCCAAAATAAACCCTTCCTTTTATAAATTGCTTTTAATAATGGTGTTTATTTACAGCAACATATGAAGAAAAGAAAAGCCTAGAGAGACAGCTCACTGGTAAGATCACCTGCTGTGTTTGGAGAGGACTCCCATGACAACTCACAAGTGTCTGTAACTCGAGTTTCAGGGGCCCTGATGTCCTCTTTTGGTCTTCCTGGGCTCCAGGTGCATAGACAACATGCAGGCATAGACCCATATACAGACACATACACATTAGGCAAAATAAATCAATCAACAAATAAATCTTCTAAAAAATAAATTTCCTAGTACTGGTACTTGTAAAATTGAACTATAAATTTTGGAATATTTTGTGCAATGGTGCCATCACAGGAGTTAAGTGTGCTATCTCTTAAGGTGCCATGCCATGCCAGGTTTAAAAACAAAAGATGCTATTCCAGCTGTATCATTACCTCCCTTTCAGGAGGACTCAGAGCCCAGAGTGTGTGCGACTGCGACATCTCTGGCCACCTGTGCCCTCCCTCAGGCAGCCCTTCCCCCTGTGAAATAGCCACTGTACTCACTCCTCACAGACAATGCCTGCCACTCTCTCACCCCCCCCCCCCCCAGGAAAGCTCACGGCTAATTACAATTTCTTATCGTCACGTTGAAAGAGTTTATGAGTAGAGTACAAGGCCAATTCCAAGTTAGCAATTCAAGTCAGTAGAAAAAGGATATAAAGGTATTTTCCCTGTTGTGCATTTGACAAATTCCAGACTTCGTCATTAAGGAAAGCCACCGTTGCCCCCTTGAGGAAAAGGCAGTGGCTATCTGGAGGGTCCAACTTTCATAGAAAAAACAAAGACAAAACAACTATTATTAAGTTCAGCAGCGGATAGGTGCTTGAACCAGAAAACCTTTAATGCAAATTAATCATTGTAGAAACTCAAGACTCGGCTACAAGCTGACAGCTGTTTATGACTGCTACGCTTTCTTCTCTGTATCATGATGATTAGCCAGGACAAGGCAGATGTGGAGCCACTCTGGAACCCCAGGGTTAAGATGGCAGCGCTATATATATATGTCAGGCTTCTGTGTGTGGCTTCTGGTGACTACCAGTCATTTGTATGTTGGAAAGTCTAGTATATTAGATATTAGACTTGTATAGTATATGTTGAAAGTCTAGTATATTAGATTATAGTATTTGTATATTAGCTATGCTATAAATATTCAACTAGAATTCTGTTAAAAAATATAAACTTGGGAGGTAATTCATCTATACACACATATACTAATATCAACTTAGGTTACTAAATTATGATAATTTTTATAGATATCACAATTGCTAAGATACTAGAAAGCACAGTTTTAGGGTCTAAGATATGGCTCAAGTTACCAATGTGTTTGTCACACAAGCACAAGGGTCCAAGTTTGAACATTAGCTCCCATGCAAAATGACGGGTGCCGTGGTGCATCTCTGTAACCCACTGCTGGAGATGCGGCGACAGGAGGGTGTCTGGGTCTTGATGCCAGCCAGGCTAGCTGAACTGGCACGCCCTAGGCTCAGGGCGTGACCCTTTCTCATAAGATAAGGTGCAGAATGATAGAGGGGGGCTCCAGATGTTTACCTCTGGTCTCCCTCACATAAGCATGCTCACACACAGAGAAAAGTGCAATTTGAAGTACAATTTAAAATTCCAGAGGCCATTGTATACAATGAACTAAATACAATTGTAATTCATTCTAACTGAATGGACTTCCCTGCCCGATAGGATCTGGCCAGTACGCATCTAACATAGAAAAAGAAGCTACATTCCTTCAAACAAGAGAACTTACACTGTCTTTTGCTAATGACATTCCCTTGGTGTAATAGCAAGGCTTTATTACTTCTGATAATACCTGAAGGTTTTCTTCTGTTGTCACCCAATGGCCTCCAACACCAAGAAGTGTGATGATGTCATGCTTATGCGGTAGTTGTGACCTTACAGCTGGTTCGTCATCTTTACTATACAATCTCACTTACAAATGAACAGTTAAAAAAGAGAGAAAAGGGACATTTCATAAAAATCTGACAACATTTATTTTGCATATCAGTCTTTTTATACAGCAAGAAACATTTTTCTTAGTAAAAGGTAAATTCAGCTAACTTTAAGCTACACCAAAATGTACTCTACACTTAATTCAAATTAAATGCAAACAAAATAAATTCTGATTTAGAAGCAAGCAAGGTAATGCTAATTGTAATAACTAACACGGGGGGGGGGGGGGTGAGCTGCTGTCTCTTTAAAAACACTGATTCACACACACTGAAACAAACATTTGAAAAGTGAACACATTAAAGTACACTGTTCACTTCCACTGGTGATTTTCATGAGTCAGTTTCCAGTCCTGGAAAACACTTATTAGATGATTAGAGTTGCACCCACAATAAAACACAAATAGACTTGCTGTGTGGTTCACAAAACTAACCCTTCAGGAGTAAATGGTGCCACCTAAATGTGCACAGATTAGGTGTGAAATAGATCTAAGTTCGAGGAAGTGAATGAAATAAGCTTGTTTTTCCCAAATAGAAGGTACAGAAGTCACCATCCAGTAGAGGGCCAGCCACGCAGTACAAGCATGCCTGACAGGTATGTATTTCTGGGGACCAACAGACTCTACTGATCATGGTGACATGCTTCTTTTTTTTTGGGGGGGGGGCTGGTATTCAAGGCACGGTTTCTCTGTGTGGCATTAGATGTCCTGAAACCCACTCTGTAGACCAGGCTGGCCTTGATTCACAGAGATCCGCCTGCCTCTGCCTCCGAGTGCTGGGATTAAAGGCGTGCCACCAACATCCAGCTGGTGACAGGTTTCTTATAGACATTCGCCTTTTGTTGTTTAAGCTTCAGTGCCTATGGCTTAAAAGGCATGCTCCCTCTTTCTGAGGACGGCTGACGATGGGAATCAAGTGAGGGAGTTATATTTTAATAGACGAGTTTTTCATTAAAAACAAACCCTTAAAGGAGACATCCACTTTTTATGAATGCAGTGATGATTAGCTTCCAGTTATGCCCTTTCTGCAGTTTATCTAACTAAAAACATCACACAGGCTGGTCGTGGTGTAGGTACCCACCTCCTGCATCTATGACGATGTCCACTCCCAGGCCCCCTGTTTCCTCCAAACAGCTTTCAGCAACACGGACTTTCCCATTAGAGACGTCAATCACACGGGCTGTAAAGGACAAGAAATCAGGCAACTGTACAGTTCTGTGTGGTCAACACGCAAGTCAGGAGGGTAGGAAAAGAGCCAGTGAGTGTTTCTGAAATAGCTCCAATAATTATTAAATTTAAAGGGAAATGTCAACTCTGTTTAGACTTTTTTCTCAAGGAATTCAATACTGATAGATAAGGATCTATCTAAAGAAGAGGGTTGGCATATGAGTAAAATGATTGAGTACATTTTAACCCAAGCCTGCCTGCCCTGTTGACAGAGGCCAGCTGTCTGGGAACATAGGCTAGATAGTCAGAACCGGGAACCCAAGGACGGGGACCCAGATACAGCACACACATCAGGGACACGAGAGAGAGAGAGAGAGAGAGAGAGAGAGAGAGAGAGAGAGAGAGAGAGAGAGAGCGCAGTTTCTTAAGCTCCTTGAGATGTCACAGTATGCAGAGCTGCGTCCTTTATTTGCATACTATGGTACTCATCTGTCAAAAGTCACTTTATTCTTTTCCTCAAAGTAAGGAAAAAGGAAAAGTAATAGGACTAGTTTGGGCAGAGTTGGGGAAAACCAAGCTTATTTTAAATGGTTGTATTAATTATATATACAGACAATATAAAAATATACTTTGTGTATATCTGTCTGTGTGTGTGAATATGTGTGTGTGTATGTGTGTATGTCTGTGTATGTGGTGTGTGTGTGTGTGTGTATATGTGTATGTGTGTGTATGTCTGTGTGTGGTGTGTGTATGTGTATGTCTGTGTGTAGTATGTGTGTATATGTATGTGTGTGTGTATGTGTGTGTGTGAATATGTGTGTGTATGTCTGTGTGTGGTGTGTGTATGTGTGTCTGTGTGTGTATGTCTGTGTGTGGTGTGTGTGTATGTCTGTGTATGTGTGTGTGTGTGTGTGTGTGAATATGTGTGTGTATGTCTGTGTGTGTGTATGTGTATATGTGTATGTGTGTGTATGTCTGTGTGTGGTGTGTGTGTATGTCTGTGTATGTGTGAATATGTGTATATGTATGTCTGTGTGTGGTGTGTGTGTGTGTATGTGTATATGTGTATGTGTGTGTATGTCTGTGTGTCTGTGTGTGTGTGTGTGAATATGTGTGTGTATGTCTGTGTGTGGTGTGTGTATGTGTGTCTGTGTGTGGTATGTGTGTATATGTATGTGTATGTGTGTGTGTGTGTGAATATGTGTGTGTATGTCTGTGTGTGGTGTGTGTATGTGTGTCTGTGTGTGTATGTCTGTGTGTGGTGTGTGTATGTGTGTATGTGTGTGTATGTCTGTGTGTGGTGTGTGTATGTCTGTGTGTGGTGTGTGTATATGTATGTGTATATGTATGTGTGTGTGTATATGTGTTGCTAGGTGAGGGGTGTGAGCAAACCCCTGGACCTTATGAATGACAAGAAAGCTTTCTACTACTGAGTGGTGTCCTTCGCCCTTAACTAGAAAACAGAAAATGAACTGATAACAATACAAGAGCACTATACAGAGAACTGAAAACAGTTTCTCAGAACCCGAACCAATGAGGATATAATTATATTTCATTTTGGTTTTTTTTGCATCTTGCATCGCTGTTCAGGTTAGAGGCTCAGTCTAACAGCACCCTGTGACTCTTTCGGTGGTAAGATGGGTCAGGAATGGGGAGCAGCGGCTCGGAAGATGGGAAGAGGCAGGAGCTGGGGCGGAGCTCAGAAGTTAAGCGCCTTGGCTGCTCTCCCAGAGCACCTGAGATCCGACCCAGCACCCAAGTCAGACGACTCACTCTGCCAACTCCAGCACACACGTGTCATACACACACACATAAAATATACCTTAAAACAAAAAGCTTTCTAAAAGGGTGCTGAAGCAATCCAGAAAGGGCAGAAGTAGCCAACAGGAAACATTCCCGAGACTACAGTTTTAAGTCTCTTCCTCCATTCTAGCTCCTCTCCCCGTCTTCACACACGGCAGATAGGGATGACAACTGAGTCTTCCATTCCTTTTCCTCTTTGTGTGCATGTGAACACTTGCAGATGCATGTAGGTGTTGTACACGCACACATATGCACTTCAGTGGGGAAGCCCCCACACTCTACCGTGTGCATGTGTGTACCACAGCCCATGTGGAACTCACAGGCCAATATGGGAGTCATTTTTCCCTTTCCACCGTGTGGCAAGCGCCTTTGCCCCGTGGCCACCTCACTGGCCCATCCACATTGGTATTTATTGCAACAGGGTTTCCCACAGACTCTGTGGCATGCGACTTGAACTACTCTGGCTAGCCAGCTTCCCCGGGATCGCGTCCAGCCTCCACCCCGAGTGCTGATTGTAGTCACATGGGCTCTGAGGAGCTGGTCTGCTCTTCCTACCTGAGAGGCAACCGCTTTAACCACTGTGCCATCTCCCTGCCCCCATTCTCCACCGTTCCCACCTGCAGGCTCTTTATCACCATCCTCCTAACGTTGTTTATCTTGGTCAGGTGCACACTGCAGCAGGGGAAGCAGCTCGGGCTTTAGTCACACGGGGCCAGGCTAAGATGTGGTCCCGTCCATTTCATGGAGAAGTTAGTTAAAGTCTTTGGAAGTGACTTAGTGGCTGTGAGTGAGGGTCGAGGGACTTGACGAGGGACTTGACGAGGGAGCTCCGGGATGGGAATGTAACGCTTTCCCCAGACTGTCCTTCCCTTTCACGCGCTTCCTTTTGGTTTTCATCCGCTCCTTCCTCCACGCCAGCCTCTCCCTGCTCTTGCTGGCCGCTTTCCTCAGGCGCCATCTTTTTCTTCTGTAGACAAGTGCAGTCTGTTGAGAGGTTGCCAGCCTCCACCATGGCCAGGGCATTTTCAGCTGACCTGACTTAGTTTATGGGCACATGGCTCACCTGCTACTCAGCACTTTAGAGAAGACAGGCCGTGTTAGGGGCACCCCTGGGCTGAAAGGCTGAGAAATGCAGAGTGGGTGAAACTGTATTGGGGGATTGGCTGAACTCGAACGAGCAACTGGCATTTCTGAATTGTATCAAAGTCCATCTAATTCAAACCTGGTTAAGTTGGTAACAGTAGGACAAAGAAGGAAAAAGCAGAAGATGTCAACAGTTGTAGGTTCAGAGCCTTAAGTAGGGGCTGAAGATGTGGCTCAGCGGTAACCACTGCACGTTAGCATGCACGAGGCCTGGGTTTGGTATCGCCAGCACCATGCAAACCAAATGCACAAATACCAGCAATATGAGACTTCAGTAACGAGCGGTTTCACTTAAGTAAGTAAATCCGGGTTTAGCAAAACCTGTGCTAAGAACATTTTAAGAGTCATTTTTATTTGGGATTCTGGACTTTACCAGCATAAGGGTTTTTTTTTTTTTTTTCCTTTTCCTTTTCTTCTACTATTTTTTTTTTTTTTTTTTTTGAGACAGGAACTCAATGGGTAGCTCAGGCTGGCTTTGAACTCATGATTCTCCTGCTTGACGGGATTACAGGCAAGAGACACCATGCCTGGCAACCAGTTTTGCTTTCCCTGCAAGATTCCATATTTTAAATGGTCTGTACTGAGTAATGCAATGTGTAACGCATCTATGGAAGGCGTGTATGGAGGAACGTAATGGTAACGCACCTATGAAAGGCCTACTCGTTTCAAGACGTTGCTTGTCTTCCAGGCTGCACGCTGTTGAAATCACCTTGGCTCCTCTATGGTGTGCTAACTGAATGGCTATTGTGCCAAACGCCTGTGTGGAAATATGTATCAATGGGTTCATAGATCCAGATGAAAGACAAACCCACATCACTTCACAGACCGTTCAACACGGACATTTCAAAACGTTACAGAATAGAACAAAGTAATAACATGCTCCAGCTTAGCATGGCAAGCGTCTGACCAATTCCTTCAGAGCTGCGAGGTCAGACTCTACTGTACTCCAAGGATGGAGGGCCGTGCCCAGAAACACAGCCATGGAGGAGATCCATCGCCCATAAGGGCATTGTTAGTCTAAGCTGGCGACACAGCACGGACGGAGCATAGTTACACCGCTTTAAAGACTGAGGCACTCAGAAGCACCATGTTTGCATCCGCGGTAAGGATTAGGAAAGAAACGCTCTCCTGATGTTGGCCATCAGACCACAGTCAATGCTGAACATATTTACGTCCCCACCCCAGAAATGGAGGTGTCAGCCTCTTAAAAAATAAGGCTATGATTTTGCCCGAGGTTTTGCACCTTTTTTTTTTCTTAGTGGATCACGTAGTGTCGTTCTTTTTTGGTGACACATACAATACACTCAACATGAGCATGGTTTAAGCTTGTATATGACCCACCTGACAAATGCCAACACCCTTACTAGTGTAAGTATGCACTGGGGCTATCATTCCCTGGTGAAGACGTCTAGAGTGACCTACAGACTGAGAGCTGTTTCAGACTCTGTAACAGTCACGAATAAAAAGGCTTGGCTGGGACACAGCCTGCTGACTGAGGATAGACTGCTTGCCTAGCACGCACCAAGCCTTGGGTTGATCAAGGGAGAGACAAAAGTCTAGCTTTGCTTTTTTGGATGCATAGTTAGAAACTGGCACACCAAGTCCGGCTTCGTCGTGCTAATGATAAAAGCAAGCTGCCCGTGAGACTCCAGTGACTGAAAGACACAGATAGCTGTCTGCAGACAGAGCCCTCCCCCGGTTCCTATGTTTACCGTGTCTGCAGACAGAGCCCTCCCCCAGTTCCTATGTTTACCGTGTCTGCAGACAGAGCCCTCCCCCGGTTCCTATGTTTACCATGTCTGCAGACAGAGCCCTCCCCCAGTTCCTATGTTTACCGTGTCTTGGTATAAACTTTTTTAAAACAAAAATCAAGGGACAAGGGACTCACACTTGCTCCATCCATGATCAGCACAGACTTTCTGGGAGAGAGGTGAGAGAGGTAATACAGAGCTGTGCAGGCTCGGACGCCGTCCCGAATGGCTCCGGCGGCTGCCGTCCACGGAACCTTTTCTGGTTTATGAACTATCACAAAGAACAACAAACAATTCATTAATTCATTAGTGAGTTCATTACCACCAACCCTTAGACCCAGGCAGGCGCATCCCAGGCAGGCGCACCTCTACCCCGCTCCAGCCCCGCTCTGTCACTAACCCTGCACTTGCCCGGTTTTATTGTTAGGCATGGAAAAGCCATTCACATAGGAGTGTTAGGGGATAAAATACATAAAGGAAGCGCAGGGCCGGCCGTAACACACGGCAAGAAGCTGCCTTCCTGGCAGACAGTCGGCACCCGGAGTCTCAGCCTGCGCTCTGTGGCTCTCACTCAGCTTCCTATCCGACTTCAGGGTCCACAGGTGAGCACCCCTCTATCCGACTTCAGGGTCCACAGGTGAGCATCCCTCTATCCGACTTCAGGGTCCATCGGGTGAGCATCCCTCTATCCGACTTCAGGGTCCACAGGTGAGCATCCCTCTATCCGACTTCAGGGTCCATCGGGTGAGCATCCCTCTATCCGACTTCAGGGTCCACAGGTGAGCACCCCTCTATCCGACATCAGGGTTCATCGGGTGAGCATCCCTCTATCCGACTTCAGAGTCCACAGGTGAGCATCCCTCTATCCGACTTCAGGGTTCATCAGGTGAGCAACCCTCTATCCGACTTCAGGGTCCATAGGTGAGCATCCCTCTATCCGACTTCAGGGTCCATCGGGTGAGCATCCCTCTATCCGACTTCAGGGCCCACAGGTGAGCACCTCTCTATCCGACTTCAGGGCCCATCGGGTGAGCATCCCTCTATCCGACTTCAGGGCCCATCGGGTGAGCATCCCTCTATCCGACTTCAGGGTCCATCGGGTGAGCACCTCTCTATCCAACTTCAGGGCCCATCGGGTGAGCATCCCTCTATCCGACTTCAGGGCCCATCGGGTGAGCATCCCTCTATCCGACTTCAGGGCCCATCGGGTGAGCACCTCTCTATCCGACTTCAGGGTCCATCGGGTGAGCATCCCTCTATCCGACTTCAGGGTCCATCGGGTGAGCATCCCTCTATCCGACTTCAGGGTCCATCGGGTGAGCATCCCTCTACCCGAATCAGGGTCCATCGGGTGAACATCCCTCTATCCGACTTCAGGGCCCACAGGTGAGCACCTCTCTATCCGACTTCAGGGCCCATCGGGTGAGCATCCCTCTATCCGACTTCAGGGCCCATCGGGTGAGCATCCCTCTATCCGACTTCAGGGTCCATCGGGTGAGCATCCCTCTATCCAACTTCAGGGCCCATCGGGTGAGCACCTCTCTATCCGACTTCAGGGTCCATCGGGTGAGCATCCCTCTATCCGACTTCAGGGCCCATCGGGTGAGCACCTCTCTATCCGACTTCAGGGTCCATCGGGTGAGCATCCCTCTATCCGACTTCAGGGTCCATCGGGTGAGCATCCCTCTATCCGACTTCAGGGTCCATAGGTGAGCATCCCTCTATCCGACTTCAGGGCCCACAGGTGAGCATCCCTCTATCCGACTTCAGGGTCCATAGGTGAGCATCCCTCTATCTGATTTCAGGGTCCATCGGGTGAGCATCCCTCTATCCGACTTCAGGGTCCACAGGTGAGCATCCCTCTATCTGATTTCAGGGTCCATCGGGTGAGCATCCCTCTATCCGACTTCAGGGTCCACAGGTGAGCATCCCTCTATCCGACTTCAGGGTCCATAGGTGAGCATCCCTCTATCTGACAGACTTCAGGGTCCACAGGTGAGCATTCCTCCACAGTCACCAATTCTGCCCGACCCTGAACCTGATCTATGGGGACCCATATGTTCTTTTCTACCTTGCTTTTGTATAGTAACTTAAATCTCTTCTTTCACATTGTCTGGATGTGTGTATGACACAGGGCATGCAGCTCCTCGGGCCCCACATGAGTTTTTAAGCTGGTATTTCTTGTCCTCATTCGGAGGCCGTGGTGGGTGGAGCTTTCATTTTTGGTATTGTGTGGCACGGGTCCTGTGGAAATGCCGTTGCTTGTTTACCCATTTGTAACCGATGAACCCTTGTCTCCAGTGTCTGACAGTTGAAATGACACGGCTAGGCATGCCAGTGTACTGACGCGGGAAGGGAACCCGTCCTGCCACGGCACCTGTCCCTGGCAGTCTCCCGCCACCGCTGCTACTGCAGGCCACACACGTTAGCCCAGCACTTGGGTATGCGATGCTCTCACTGTGACTGTCATTCGCCTTCCCCGGCCCCCCCCCCCCACCTCATGCTTGCTGGGCTTCATGGCCGTTTTATGAAGTGACTGTTTAGGTCTTGGCCAAGCTTTCTACTTTCTTGGTTATTGTTTTGTGGGAATTTTTAGTATGTTTCAGATGAGTCATCTCTTTATATGCTACAAATATTACAAGCTGCACATCCTGCAAAATGCTTGAGACAAGAAGCGTGTTGAATTTCAGAGCATTGGCATATCCACAGTGAGCTATCTTGCAGACAGGACCCAATTCCAAATATAAAATATATTTGTTTCATGTATATTTTATGTGTATAGCGCGGAACTAACTTTATTTTACCCTTAAAGATGAACTTATTGCACTTTTGTGCGTATAACTGTTTTACATTCACACATGTCTGCGTACCACTTGTGTGGAATTCCCACAGAGGGCAGAAGAGGGTGTTGTGACATATGAAATGCAATTATAAACATGTGTGACTCGGGAACCAAACCCAGGTCCTCCAGAAGAGCAGCCAGGGCTACTAACTTTGGAGTGCTTTTTATTTCAGACACGTGTCACCGGGACAGCTCTGCTCTCCAATCCCTCTACTGATGTCTTCAAGGACAGAACTGCCGGGTGGGACTTTAAGTCCCTCGGGTGGACGTGGCGCTGCTCTGTCATCACAGTCCTTGGGGAGCTGCAGCAGGGGGCTATGAGCGACAGAGCAGCCTGAGCTACAGAGCAAAGCCCTGACTGAAAAACAAAACTCGACGACAAGATGACTCGGCCGGTAAAGCGCTTGCTGCCATCCCTGACGACCTGCATTCAGTCCCCTGGAGAGCACACGGTGAAGGAGTTATCCTCTGATCATCACACATCTCTGTGAGTACCGGGCAATCCAAGGCTACACAGTGAGACCCTGTCTCAAGACTAAACCAACAAGTAACAACCCCCCAAACTCCTCAAAATGGGATAATAAACTAAAAAATAAATAAAAGTTCTGTATGCTCTCCCACCAAGCTGTTTTTTCACCTTTTTGAATAACTGTTGCGTTCAAATGAACTGTGGCGCTGTCACCCTAAAGCAGCCCGTCCTGATTCTATCTCAGATCAGTGGATCACACTTGTATATGACCTGGTCACAGAGCCAGCAGTAGAGCATTAACAAAGGACTTGTGCCACCTAGTGGGCGGACGGAGCATTCACACAATGTGGTGAAACCGCCCAAAGGAATGAGGAAGAGCACACACTAAGTACCACAGATACGGAGAATTTCTTTATGCGACTCTTCAGGGCAACCATGATTTATATACAGGCCTTCAGCCTTCGTCCCTGCTCACGACTCCCACGACCCACTTTATTTTCTAAGTGATTAAGTTATCATTCATTAAAGTGTTTGGCCCCTCTGTCCTCAGTTGTCGGATCAATGAAGGTAAAAGATGTTTATGTAGCTGGGGTATGTCAGTTCAGAAGCAAGCTTCAGAAAGCAAAGTCCCCCTGACTGTACACTAATCTACTGTTGCTCTGGTCTTGGAGTTGACCTGTCTATAAAACTCTGACATGCCTTGCTTGGTGGTAGACATGAAGACCTCCATCCTCCATTCTAGTGGGGGTCCTGCCCCACGCCCAAGAGAAAGTAACGAGGGGCGACTGTGTCTCCTGTGGATATCTTCATCTGTGTTTACTTACATCCTTTACAGGAAGCCAGCTCTTTACAAAATTCATCTATCCATTATTTATTTGTCACTCAGTGTCTGCACCACAGACAGGCCTGGAGCTCCTGGAGATCCGCAGAGGCATCAGATGCCTGGAACTGGAGCTGGGGATGGCTGAGAACTGCTATCTGGGTTCTGGCAATCAAACCTAGGTCTTCTAAAAGAGCAACACATGCTCCTAGCTACTGAGCCGTCACTATAGCCCCCGCCCTGAGCTCACTTAGCCACTCTTAGAAATTAAACACGCCTACAGTGGGGTCCTAACTCTCTCAGAAACCCCGAAGGCCCACACTTGTGACGGAGTCACAAAGGAAGGCAGAACTGGGGGACTGAGTCTTCAACCTGTGCATCTATGCCGTCTCCAGGGAGATAGCATCAGAATTAGAGAGGAAGAAATAGGAGCAGAGGATGCCTACTGGGCCTAGTGCTGAGTGACCGCTGTGAGGAAACCCCACACATCTGAGGACACCCTAGGAATGCTGAGTGTATAGCACAAGGAGTGGACTTCTGTGTTTGTTCTTACTTCCTTTCATTTTTATCTACCCAATACTATTCTTCCAGTTTTGCTGATGATAACATTAGGTGTGGGATCATAACTGGCTTGCCTAAGGCCTCACAGGTAATAAGGTTGAATATGTAACCTAAAGCAGATCCACCTCTTCTTAAGCTCATCTGTGCACATTTTTCGTGTATGGCCTATTTGGAGGCAATATTTCCACCCATAAGATTTCAGTTTACCATATTTTATCAAAACTTTATTTATAGGACAGAATCCCAACACTTAGAAGGCTGAGGCAGTAAGAGAGTTACAAAACTGACCAGCTTTAGATACACAACGAGCCTTCTCAAGGAAGGGAGGGAGGGAGGAAGGGAGGGAGGAAAATTTAAAAATGCATATATATGATTCTAATCACACATGCATGTGCACACACATGCACATGTACACACATGTACACATCATTCATGCAGTCATTCAAAAAATATTAAGGGCAATAACACTACATTTAATATTCTTAAAATATTTTGTAAGACCGAGTCCATTAATTTATGTATGTGTTCATGCACACCATGTGCCACAGGAGTGACAGGAACCTGTGGGCTGCTGGGTGTGGGGTTCTGGGGTCTAAACCCAGTCCGCATGATAGAAGTGCACACACGTACAACACAGACATCACACACACACACGCACACGCGCACACGCGCACACACACCAAACACAGACCTCTCTCTCTCTCACACACATGCACGCAAAACACAGATATCCCACACACAGACACATACACATAGACACATACATACACACACATACACACAAAACACAGACATCACACACACACACCACACAAAACACACAGATAAGCCAAGGGCAAGACATATTCAAATTCCAGCTATGGATAGAATTTCAGAGCCATGAGCAATGCTAGTAACCCTCTCAGGTCTACACAATGCTGAGTCTACACATTAATTTTATAAATAATGTAAGGCAACAGTCACACTACAAAGCAGTGAAATAAGACTAAGTTCCAAATGACTGGACTGCCACATACCCAGGTAATGCTCATGTACTCGAATAACTTCACAGAGCCCAGGGTCTTCTGAATCCAACGGCAGAATTCCTGAGAATTAAAGTGAGAAGCTTATTTCAGGGATGAATCCATTCCTGATGAGCTTCACTCACGTTAATCCTGTGCAGTGAAGTCACAGGGAAGGCTCCCAAAGTTACCAGGAAGGGAATGAAGCAGCTGCACCTCTTCTGACATGAACACTGTGACAGTGGAGATGATGGCCTCTGCCATACAGCCAACCTGGGGCCTTGGGCCCCGGTGCCCCTTTCCATGGTTTTGCCTCACAGGATGCCTGGCGTGACACCAACAGAGCCCCACTTCCCTGGAGTCTACCAAGTTCTCACTCTGCTCTCTTACAAAAGGAACCCCGAGCAAGCAGAGTGTCTGTCACTCATGCCTTGGGTAAAAATCAAATCAAATCAAATCGGTACTTCTTGAAAACGCAAGCCGTGAAAGCTGCGGGCACCTCCCCACACATCTGATCTCCAATGACACTTCCCAAGGCTCAGAAGGACACTTCCCATGAAGACGAGGAACGTTTCTGAGAGACAGTTACAACAGTGATGTCCTACACGTGTTTCATGACCATCTAGGATGCAAGCATGAACAGATGTTTATGACATTCTTTCAATAACTATGGATTTAAGAATAAAAAACTGCTTCAAATTAAGTTTTAGTTCTACAAGAGTAGCCAAGAGCTCTCTAGAGATGAAACTGGGGTAGGCACAGAGGTTCTACACCGCCCACTTCATCCACGCTCTTCCAGTCCAGGCCTCTGACTCTAGAAATTTCAGTCTGGCCGGACAAGTAGGGACCGAGTAGGAAAGCCAGGCGTGAGGTCTGGCCGTTTTCCCTCTGCGTAACTGGACAGCCATACACATGCAGGCTTGAGGTGTTCTCCTAACAGAGGTCAAACTGGCTTCTTCAGCAATGGATATTTGAGAGCAAATTTCAGAAGCCAGGAAAACATTTTTAGTTTTGGAATGTCAGGATTGAACCTTAGGCCTTATACATGCTATACCCCAGCCAAAGAAAAGCATTTGTGTGTGCGTGTGAAGTAAGGTGATAATGAACATTAATAACATGCAGAAAACCAGGTGATGTAGGTCATTTCGTTCTCGATTTTCCTTTTCTTAGAGCACACTTGTTATTCACTGTTTTGTATATAGTTTTGTATTAAGCCTAAATCTTTTCTTTAGACTAAAAGGGGAATTGTAGTGAGGTAGTCCTTCTGTGGCACTGACCACGCCCATTGGGGGGTGGAGCCATGGGCGGAAGTGACCTGTGGAAGGAGTTCGGAGAGAGAGCCGGGAAAAGCTCTCTTGCTAGCATGACTCGGACAGGAGAGGATCGGGTTGAATTTCCTGGTGTTCATCTGTCTAGGTTGTAAGTTATTTCTCCCTGAATAAACATCTATTGGGCCTATTTGTTTATCCTGATCCTTATTTAACCGCGATAAGGTGAGATGACAATGAAATACACAACTTGAAAAAGGACTTGTGAACTACAACTTACCGACTACTTCATCATCTGGTTGGAAGAATGATACCTTACTGCCAACTACAGGGCAGAAAAAAGGGAGTGTTAGCATCACAGAATTACCAAGTTTCATTCCTTATTTACATCTCTTTATTTTACTGTGTGTATGGGTGTTTCTGCTTCGTATATATCTGTGCACCTTGTGCATGCTTAGTGCCTATGGACGCCAGAGACGGCAGTAGGTCTCCTGGAACAGAGTTACAGACACTTGTGAGCCACCATGTGGGTGCTGGGAATCAAACCTGGGTTCTCCAGAAGAGCAGCCAGTGTACTCAACCTCTGAGCTGCCTCTCCAGCCCCCCTAAATTTAATTTTTACTTAACTATTTTTTTGCTTTTATTTTATTTTTATTCATCTTCATGCATGTGGTGTGTGTGTGTGTGTGCGCGCACGTGCATGCGTGCGTGCGTGCATGCCTGCCTGTATAGACAGACCATTTACTTAACTATTAAGACAAACGAAAAAGTCAGACACAGTGGACAACAGCTGCAATCCCAGCCCTTAGGAGGCGGAGTCAAGAGGCTCAGGAGTTTAGGGTCATCCTTGGCTACATATCAAATTAAAGGCCAGCCTAGGCTACATGATACCCTGCCCCCCAAACAAACAAAAAGCCAAATAAAGAATTAAAGACATGAAATCACTGACAGGATTGTAAAAGTCCACTCAATCAAAGGGCCAAGAGCTTGTGTAAGGTCTTGCTTCTCTGGAAAGACTGAGGTACACGGTGTTGACACTGAAGGGAATGCCGTGTGTGTCGCTGTCACCGTGGCTGACTTCCAGGGGACAGTGCAAAGAGAAACATATCCGGGGCTTCCGATGGCTGTTCTCTACCCCCCCCACACACACGCCTTGTGCTAGGCACATCTGTCATCATCTAAGTGGGAGGGTCTCAGACACACAACAGGGAACGCCATCGAGTCACGTGTTACTCTGACAGCCGGAGGGGCGGCTCAGCAGTTAGGATCACTTGCCGTTCTTGTAGAGGATCCGGATTCGGTTCTCAGCACCCACACGATGGCTCACACTGTCTGCATTTCCACTCAGGGATCTGATGCCCTCCCTGTCCTCTACAGGTGCATACACATCCATGCGGACACACTCATTACAAAACAACAAAAATTACACTTAGTAAGTGAGTTCTGATTGGCAGCCACAAAGCTCTTGAAACTTTATTTATTTATTTATTTATTACTACTGTTATATTAGTGTGTGTGTGTACCCCAGTATATGCCATGGCAAATATGTGGGAGTTTACTGTTATATTAGCGTGTGTGCCCAAGTACATGCCATGGCAAACGTGGAGTTAGTTGCTTGGCAAGCAGGGAATGGACTCAGGTAGTCAGAGTTGTGTAATAAAGTGCTTTTACTGGCTGAACCTCCTCTTTGGCCCGGCTCTAGGAACTTGGAACTTTGGTGGTGTGATATTGTTTCTATCTTCTACCACAAATGTGTGCATGTACACATACATATTTTACACACACACACACACCCCTGCCAAAAGTTAACTCATTTGAGTATTTTTGTTTGAAGAGTTATAAGATGAAATAGGAAGAAAACAGTCAATGCTACTGACTGCTTTGGCCTCAGAAACTTTCTATAAGCTTTATAGTGTATCCTACAATATACCTTATAGTACACTTTATAGTATAACTTATAGCATATCTTATAGTATACCTTGTAGTTCACCTTATAGTGCATGTTATAGTGTACCTTAAAGTATATTTATAGTTCACCTTATGGTGTATCTTATAGTATACCTTAAAGTGTATTTATAGTTCACCTTATGGTGTATTTATTGTATACCTTATAGCACACTGATGGGGCAATGTCCTTCTGTATATATCTGTATATATCTGGTTAATGAATAAAAGACTGATTGGCCAGTAGCCAGGCAGGAAGGGCTCCCAGATGAGGATAATTCTGGGAAAAGGACGCAGAGAGAGACACCATGTAGCTACCAGGCAGATAGCATGCTGCGGTGTTCTTTGGTAAGATAAGGCCACATAGAAATACATAGATTAAGAGTTAATGGTCAATAATTAAGAAAGAGCTAGCCAATAAGAAGCCTAAGTTATCAGGCAAACAGTTTATAATTAATGTGGGCCTCTGTGTGTTTATTTGGAGCTAAACAGTTGTGGGATCAGGGGGGAAGAAATTCTGTCTGTAGTACACCTTATAGTAACCTTGTAGTATATTTAAAGTATACTTAATAGTACACCTTATAGTACATTTATAGAATGCCTTATAGAATACCTTATAGCACATCTTATAGTACAACTTATGAGATACCTTACAGTGTATCTATGGTGCATCCTACAGTACATTCATACTATACCTTACGGAATACCTTATAGTGTATCTTTCTGTGGCTTTGGAGGCTGTCCTGGAACTAGCTCTTATAGACCAGACTGGTCTCGAACTCACAGGGATCCACCTGACTCTGCTGGGATTAAAGGTGAGTGCCACCACTGCCCGACCACTACCCGGCAATATATCTTATAGTACATTTATAGTATATCTTATCATATATCTTATAGTACACCTTATAGTATATTTATAGTATCTCTTATGGTATACTTTATAGTATATTTATAGTATCCCTTATGGTAAACCTTATAGTAAATTTATAGTATTTTTATAGTATATTTATAGTATACCTTATGGTATATCTTACAGTACACCTTCAAATATAATCATGGTATACCTTGTAGTATATCTTAGTATATTTATAATATACCTTATAGTATCCCTTACAGTACACCTTATAGTATATTTATAGAATATCTCATAGTGTATGGCATTATTCTCCTATTCTACAGACAAGGATACTAAAGTAAAATGGCTCCAAAACTCATCTACTGGTACCGAGCAAGTAACTCTAAGTCTAAATCTGTTCCCGTCTTGCTCGCTTTCTCCGGGGATGTTCCTGTGGTATTATCTCCAGTTCCTGACTCACCGAGCTTTTCCTCTGGTCTCCTGGTGGTTTACTTCTCCTGACTTCTTTCACGCCTCCTTATTCCAGTGTCCCTCAAACATGGGCATCCCAAAGGCTCCTCTTTATGTCTACTGGCTCATCAGCTTTTTTTTTTTTTTTTTTTTTTTTTTTTTTTTTTAAATCTACACACTGACAATTCTCAAATGAAATTATTTGCTGCATAGGACTTTCCCCCTCCAGAATCCACTTAAGCAACTGCTCACTAGATATTACAAGTGAGACATCATTTACCTTTCTTGACCTCAACTAGAGTAAGGCTGAACTCATCATGACTGTCATCTACAGCTCTCGCCTCTTCTGCGTCCTCTAAGGCCAATCGAATATTAACCGCTGCCGACCTCATTTCCTCCCGGATTCGCCACCCAGCACATGAACACGGTTATCTCTTGTGTTGGTCCATGGCACACCCTGCCAGGCCTCTTTCCTAGGAACTGGTTTGCCTCGGTCGAATCTGCCCTTAACAGCTAACCTAATAATCTCATCTGTAGTTCACCACGTGTCTGCCTGGCTCTGGCCAACCCTCCTGTTTGTTTCTGAGGACAAGCCTGTGTTCAAACTTCCTTTTGTTCACTATCTTTCATTCTCATATTTGAAGAACATTTTTCCTTTTTTCTGCCTTTCCCACTGAGCTACATACCCAGCCCCAAGACTACCCCTTTGTATAATGTTTGTAAACGAGTCCAAGTTACTTGTGTAAGTTAGCTGTGGCGTAACATGCACATAACCGCCAGCAATTGCATTAAACGAAGCTCTCAAAGCTTGCTCTAAGGCAAGCATTTAAAAGTAAAGCAGCTTATTTATCTAAAAATCAGAGTTGTCATTTCTAAGAAGAAACAACCAGGTTTTTGTTTGTTTGTTTGTTTATCACTCTGAAGTGTTTATTTCTTTTGTAAATGGTTTCAGCATATGGGACAGGGACCCTAAGTATCTGAAAAAGTTTGTTTATAGAGCTAGCCAACATTTACTAGCAGGTGTTGACGATTGGTGTGTCTTGTCTTAGTGCACACACAATGGCTGCCAACCAATACAGGGCAGACATGTTTGAATTTTACCTGTGATTTTAATTGTAGCACAAACGATACTCCCTCACTTATCTGAGTGATCATTTCATCCTCCTTTAATCTACCCAGACTGGGAAAAACATAATTAGATGAGCATTAAATTCACTCACTGCTTAGTAAGCACTTGGCTTACCTATTCTACATTTAAAAGACAATGTCTACCCTCAAGATTACCAAGAACAAAAACAGACACACAAATAAGCAGATCATTATAAAAGCTCTGCGGAAAAGTGGGCTCTGGGATTCAGTTGCTGCATACAAAAAAAAAAAAAAAAAAAAAAAAAAGACAAAACTGCCCATCTTATTCAATATGATTACATATGAGTTCACACCTGAATATTTACTGAAGTTAAGTTCTTCCACTGTAAACTCAATCTTAGTTTTAATTTTTTAAAATGAATTTTTAATAAATTTATAGCCAGGCATGGCGGCACATGCCCTTAATCCCAGCACTCGGGAGCCAGAGGCAGGAGGATCTCTGTGAGTTTGAGGACAACCTGGTCTACAGAGCAAGTTCAAGGACAGCCAGGCTACACAGAAAAACCTTCTCTCAAAAAACAAAACAAATTATAAGACATTGTGTATTGGTAACTTTATTAGCTATTACAAATTTCTTTTACTATAGAAAATACAGATGATACTTACCATCTAATACAATTCCAGCAACTTCTCTTCCAACAGGGAAGAAATCTTTTTCCATCTTCATTTCTGCCAGAAGCTAAATCATGATGGAAGCTGTCAGCACATTGGTCAAGAATAAATTCTGGACTGACATGGCAATGCAGTACTATAATCCCAACATTTGCCTCAGCCCCAGCATGCAGAAGACATAGGCAGGTCTGAGCAACACATCGAGTTCTCATGGCCAGCCTGGGCTGCACAGGGAGATGCTGGATCAAAAACCAAACCAAACCAACCACAAATCAAATGACCAACCAAAAAAGAAACAAACAATAAAAACCCATCTCTTACTTCTGAGAAATTGGGCACAAAACAACAACAAACTCACGCCACAGAAAAAGCAAATACGATTCACTTGTGGGATTACAATAAAGGGAAAAAAGTCACCAAATCCCTTCTTCCAGAGTGGGGGACTGCTGAGGCATTTGACCCAGGGCTGAGGCACACAGGGCTGAGGCACACAGGGCTGAGGCACGGGTGTTATCCTTTAAAGCAACAGGACATGCTAAACAGTTTTCTCTGACAGGAGGAAGGGGGGTTACACCCCCAAAGGATTCTCAGATGGCTAAACACTGATTCCCTGTCACCTGTCCAAGAAAGGTCAGTGGGTGCAGACAGAGCACTGCTCGACAGGGAGGTGGAGAGGAAGAGAGGGAGAGGGAGAGAGAGGGAGGGAGGGAGGGAAAGAGAGAGGAAGACAGAGAGAAAGAGGGAGGGGGAGAGAGAGCGCTCACCCTTTAAGGATCACCCTGCTGGACTGACATGTGCCCAGAGGGTAGGCTTGCCTAGCATGCCGAAAGCCTGAGTTCCACACCAGCACCACACTAAAGCCATGTATGGTGGCTTGGGCTGCACTCACTCCTAGCATGGCAGTCAGGTGGACACAGGAGGGTCAGAGTCTGTATATAAGACAGAGTCTGCCTTTAAAAACAGGAGGGCATCTGGAATCTGGATTTCCCTGCAGTCTTGGGCCAGGGCTCGGCGGGAAGGGGTGGCAGGTGCTTGTAGGAAAGCTGTCAAAAGATTCCAGACTTATTCGGTACCTGTAGGCCTTTTGGGCTGGGTTGTTTCCTTGTTTTAAACTATTTATTCTTATTTTATGCGTATAAGTATTTGCCTGCATGTATGTAAAGGCACCACATGACTGCCTGGTGGCTACAAAGGTCAGGGTTAGGGCTGGGTGCCCTGAAACTGGAGTGAGAGACGGTTGTGAGCTGCCATGGGAACCCAGGTAGGTGCTTCGCAAGGGCAACAGATACTCCTGACTGCTGAGCCAACTTTCCAGCCTACCGTTATTTTTCAATTAAAAAATCAGACAAAAACAAAAAAGAAGTCCTCTTAGATGTATGTTGACTTTCCAGAACTTTCTCTTAAGTGTGGGACTTCACACTTTTCCTAGGGTGTCCATATACGACTTCCTTAGGGAAACTCGCCCTCTCCCTCATGTGGGCAGTGTGGACGGGCCAGGGCCTGGCATGCTTGGGTGGGGCGTCCTCACGGAGCCCTTCCTTTTCCTTTGTGCCCAGTTTGAGTTATAATCACGGCTTTAGCACCTGCATTCCACATCTTCCATTTACCATACTCATTTTCGTACATCAATGTGTCTTCATAACCATCATGCTGAAGGGTAACTAATAGCTCATTTTTGTTTTTGCTTTGCTTTGGTTTTTGGACACAAGGTTTCGCTGGTAGGCTTGGCTGCCCTGGAACTCACAGAGATCTGCCTGCCTCTGCTGGGATTAAAGGTGTATACCACTACTGCCTGGGCTGTAATAGTTCATTTCTTCCTGTTAGTGGTAGAGTGCTTGTCTATCATTCACAAGGTCCTGGGTTCAATCCTCAACACCACCACGACCAGAATCTGTGCAAGCCCTGTAAAGTTTAGTACCTGACCAGACGGTATCTCCACTGAGCAGGCACACATCAGATGCCACCCGACTTTAGTCACGGACATCTAAAACGTGCGCCAAAAATCAATCTTCTCGTCCGTATTCCTTCGTGCTGCAGACTGAACTGGCTCTTCCCACACCACCTGACACGCTTCTAGCCCTGGTCACCAATGTGACTCCATTTGGAGACGGAGACTTTAGGAAAGGAATTAACGTTAAACCAAGTTGTGGATGTAGACTCCTAATCCAGCAGGACAGGGGACCTAGGGTGACAATGACATCAGGGGCGGGCACTCACAGAGGAAACGCCACGTGAGCAAGGAGATCATTCGCAAACCACGAAGAACGGACCTGAGGCCAGCCTGCTGTACTTTTACCCTTCAAATCAGGGGTAAAGATTCAGTTGTTCAGGTCAAAGGGCAAAACAAAAACCACAATCAAACACACAGCAACAAAACCCCCAAAACAAAACCAGGAGAAGAGTCTGCATCTGGAGGAACACACCGATCATCTAGAAACTGGGAGACTAGGCAGAAGACCACGCGTCTAAGGCCAGCCTGGGCTACACGGTGAGAACCTGTCTCACTGCCAGACCTGGAAATACTTAGCATGCCATGTCATGTTTAACCATTTATTTACATTACTGACTATTTATTTACCATTTCAAGACTTTGTAAAGACAAGGTTTCACTGTGTGACCCTGTGACTTGGAACCAGCTATGTAGACCACCCTGCCTCAAACTCTCAGAGTCTGCCTCCTGGGTGCTGGGCTTATGTGTCACCATCACTGGGTCAAAGACACTTTTTTGTTTTGTTTTTGTTTTTCGAGACAAGGGTTTCTCTGTGTAGTCCTGTCTGTCCTGAAACTCGCACTGTAGACCAGGCTGGCCTTGAACTTTTAAGTTCGAGACCAGCCTGGTCTACAAAGAGAGTCCAGGACAGTTAGGATTATTATACAGAGTAACCCTGCCTTGAAAAAAAAAACATATATATAAAATATATGTATGTATGAAATATGTTTTCTAGTTCAGTTTTTCTTTTTTTTTATTTAATACCTTTTTAAAAGATTTATTCACCTATTATGTTTACAGAGTTCTGCCTGCATGTGTGCCTGCACACCAGAAGAGGGCACCAGATCTCATTATAGACGGTTGGGAGCCACCATGTGGTTGCTGGGAATTTAACCCAGGTCCACTGGAAGAACAGTCAGTGCTCTTAACCTCTGAGTCATCTCTCCAGCCCCCTTTATTTTTTTAAACTTCACTTTACAATCCAACCACAGTTCTCCCTCCCAGCTCTCCTCCTACCCCACCCCAGTCTCCCCCTCAGCCCACCCCCAGTCCACCCCTCCTCACGGGTAAGGGCTCCCACGAGGAGTCGACATAGTCTGGCACAATAGGTTAGGGCAGGGCCAGGCCCCTCTCCCGTGCCTTAAGGCTGAGCGTGGCACCCACCATAGGGAACCGGCTCCAACAAGCCAGCTCATGTACCAGGTTTGTGTCGTGGTCCTACTGCCAGGGGCCCTTCTGACAGTCCAGGCTTCACAGCTGTCTCCCACATATGGAGGGCCTAATTCGGTTCCCTTAGTTCAGTTTTTCTCAGGAAAATAATTGCTTGGCACTTAAAATCAATTACCACTGTACATTATATATACTCTGAAATTCCCATTTGTCTTCTGGTAGCAATGAAAGCCCCAATACCTTTGTGTTTATCCGGCTCAGAGCACAAGCTTTAACTTGAAGTTTCACAAAGTTATCCTCTGTAACAGGGAGATTCTCCTAGAACCAAAGAACAAAACCACATGTTATACACTCCTCTGAGAACATTTGCTCATCTTACGAAATGTCTATACATAACTGAAAAAACAAACTGATGCCAAATCTCATGCCTCTCCTAAGTTTAAGATACAAATAGTTATCTAATAGTATATCATAAAAAAGAGGAGTGTAAACTTAAAAAACTTCTGTCTTTATTTTAAAAGCACTCAAAGACCAACATGGATGAATACAGAAACAAACTCGTCTTCATAGAGCACAATGACAAATACTGTGTTTCAACCTAAGTAATTCAAACTGTCAGATCTTTACAGGATACATACATCATAGAGCCTTTGCTGAAATCTGGAATTTCCTTTGTGCTATGAATGAAATTCTTCAATGATACGTATCCATCTATTTTTTTTTTTAACATCAACCATGGAAGCCTCAGCACATCCCACAGTATTTTGCTGTCAAGACATTAACATAATGGAATTTAACTACCTCTTACACTCTTACAGACACAAAGCAACAAAGGCAAAAAATACTCCCACTGAGGCACTCAGGGTCACCCAGCTATTAAACACAGCGTCACTTCTCCCAGACACCTGCATTCAGGACCGCTAACTGCAATGTGTCCCTCAGTGACACCCACCGCCATGACCCATCTCAGGGACCACTGTGTTTCTAGTTGCCACAGCCGGCATCAGGGAGCCTCTTTACTAAATCTTGGATCTGCTGTTCAGTGATAACAGATGAGGACAGCGATACAGACGCATGTGTTAATTCTGCCCAGAGAAAAGTTGCCCTCTGGACACAATGGGACAAGCCTCTTCCCTGCTGTGACTCTAACCTGGACCTCAGAGTTAAGTAGGTCCTTCCTCCTATAAGTTACTTTTGTCTGAGCATTTTATCATAGCAACCAAAACCAAACAAAGGCAATTATTCATGGAAAGGCATTATCTTATCACATTTAGTGATTGCGTAATTTATTCTTACCCTTTCTTGAAACAGAAATGTTATTTCTTCATTTGTGGAACTCTGTTGAAAATACAAGCCCTTCATAGTTACCTAGAAACAAACAAACAAATACAAGTTAATAAACAAAACAAAACAAAATAGTCTTCTTGAGGGCTGGAGACAGCTCAGTAGGAGAACTTCCTGCCCTGTCAGGGGACCCAGGTTCAATTCCTAGCACCCATATGGCAGTCTACAACCATCCTTAATTCCAGATCCAGGAGATCTGAGGCTGCCTTCTGGCCTCCTTGGGTTCTAGGCATGCACACGACACACAGAAATATATGTAGGCAAAACACCCACACATAACGCCAAAATGTACACAAGTTTTAAAAATGAAATAAGTAAATAAATAAAGTCTACTTATCAGATGAGAATTAAATGGGAAAAACTGTCCAGGCAAGGAGAGAAAAGCAACTATAAATGTAACCTGCAAGCAAGTAGGTGCAAACGATTCATCTTCCATAAAATAAACAGGAAGCCTCGTTAGAAGCGCTGGCCCATGCCTGCGGTCCCAGCACTATGGTAGAAGAGGCTGATGTTCCAGAGCTGAAGGCCAGCGTGGGCTATACTATCTCACAAATAGAGGGGGACTAGGGTGAGTGTTACCACGGGTGCTTGCCTAAGGGACGGGTTTCAGGCCCCGTAGCACAGGCTGGACCCTGCATTCAGTTGGCTGAGGGAGCACTGCAAGCTTGAAGCTAGTTTGGGTTACGTAGTCAGACGTTGTCTTAAAAGAAAAGGGCAGGGAGACCACTTTGCTACTTAGTAACAAATTATTTATATATATATATATATATATATATATATATATATACACACATATATATATATATATATAAAATCAATCACATCACACCAACAAAAAAAGTCTTACAAGGGCCAGATAGGCAGGCCAGAAATGTTGACAGGCAGCTTTAAACGGTTCTCAAACATTTCACAAGGCAAGAGGGCATGGCTAGGACCCTGGCTGAGAGGGTCCTCTCAGTTCTTCTATGACAGCCTTGTGTCCCTACGTCTGGCCGTATGTTTCACACTGACCGAGAACTCAGGCTCCTTCTGCCTCAGCCTGCTGAAGGTTTGGATTACAGGGGTATGCCACCATGTCCACACCCTGTGTCTTTAGTTCTTATTTTTCATTAGGTTTTTAAAGGTTTGCTTCTGCCTGTGTATGGGTGCTTTGTTGCACACATGTCTGTGCACTGCGTGTGTGCCTTGTGTCTGAAGAGGCTAGAGAAGAATCCCCTGGAACTGGAGTTACAGATGGCTGTGAGCCACCACGTGGGTGCTGGGAACCGAACAGAGTCCTCTGGAAGCGCGGCCAATGCTTTAACTGCCGGGCCATCTCTCCAGCCCGCTTTTTCATTTTTTAATGGAAAAGGTTTATTTTTTGGTTTCAGTATACATTTGTGGTCTATATGTCTAAGGATGGACATGCACGTGTGTGCACACATTTGGAGGCCGGAGGCTGACATCGGGTGTTTTCCTCTTTCCATCTTACTTTTGGAGACAGGGTCTCACTACAAAGCTCTGGCTGGCTTTGAACTCACTGTGCAGACCTGGCTGGCTTTGAAATCAGAGATTCACTTGCTTCTGCTCCATGAGTACTGGGATTAAAGGTTTGAGCTAAAATGTCCAGCAACCTTATTTTTTTTTTTTTTTCAGGCAGGGTAGAGTCTGTCCTATCAGAAGTGAATATGCTCATGGCCCAGCAAAGGGCCACACATAGACCGTCTGAAGCTCTATGCGCCATGCGGGGCTGTCACAAATGACCGTGTTCACAACATTTCGCTGTATATTTTTTGCATTTATTATATGGATGAGGAAATTGTGCTCACCCCCACCCACTGAGGGAGGCATCTTAAGGGGATTATATTCTTCCAAGAGCTCAGAGTACCGGCTGGGCCGGAGCCTGGAAGTCATTGCTTTGAACTGTCCCAGTCTTTATGGTGTCTACTGAGCTGCTGGGGCGCGCTCACCCAGAACCATAATACTTTACCCTGTGGGGACAGACCACTCAGTACTCGCTGACAGATCTGTTGTTTTAACCCGCAGGTCCCAAAGTGAAACAAAACAAAACAAAACAACAACAAAGTGGGACCCTCATCTAGAAATTACTAGAACTTCCATGTTGGTTTCATGCCCATGAAACCAGTTCTGTGGATTAGGACCTCTGTGAACCTAAATCGATCCCTATAAGAGTTGCATGGAGTAGCTGAGTAAGGGTTGCTGCTTTCAGTGTGGGCCAATCAAACGCAGAAACCACATGCAAACACACATTTAAGACATGTGACGTCCCAGGTATCAACAGCGCACAGAGCGGTGACAGCGCGGCTCAGCATCATGTGTGTTGCGCTGTGAAGGGGGAGGAAGAACCTCAGCACAGACAGCACGCATGCTCCACATTACGTGTTTCGGCTTCTGCCCAGCTTTCTCGGCTCTCTGAAGGCATATGCTCTTCCTAGTCTACCCTAGTCCACCCACAATGTCTCAGCACAAACTCGTTTGATCAAATCAGTGTGACTTAACACAGACATCTATCCTATCATGGGCTTTCTAGGCGCAGCCTATTCCTTGAGAGTATGCTGCTCTAGCCCACTGATGCTGCTGAGTAAATAAACCCAAATCCAGCTCCCTCCTCCGGAATGACCACTGCATGATGGGTAGTATCACATCCGTCCGCTCCACACTTTAGATCACCGTTATTGTATTTACTTACTGCGTGAGCTCCCCGTACTGCTTGGACACACCAATGCCTCCCCCACCCCCACTCTTTGGCTTACTTGTCTTGAGACAGGGTCTTGTTATAGCCCAGCCTGGCCTTCAACACCGTATTCTCCTGGCTGCCGCCTGTGTACTGGGATTACAGGTGTGCACCACATGCCCATTAATACCCATTACTAAATAAACGAAACTCTGCTCCTATTTAGCCTAGACCTACTAGGCTCACCTTTTCTAAGAGTGCAACTCAGGGTGTTCTGTACTAACTAATGCCCTGAGTTTAAAACACCTCCCTTTGTAGCTCTAGGAGCCATTATTTCCTCTGTCTACCGAACCTTTGATGTGTGGCCTGGGTCAACAGTCATGTGGACCTTAAACTATGACCTAATTTCAAAGACCTGGGGGATAATTCTACATACCCTAGAATCTTTGTGTGTGTGTGTGTGTGTGTGTGTGTGTGTGTGTGTGTGTAAAATAAGGATTAGTTAATCTAATTAAGAACTGTCTGGGGTCAAAACCATTTTCTACTTTACAAAATAAAGAAAAAGATGGTTCTTTGTTTTGTGTTTTGAGACAGGGTTTCTTTGTGTAGCCCTGTATGTACTGGAACTCACTCTGTTGACCAATCTGGCCTTGAAATCACAAAGATTCACCTGCCTCTGCCCCCTGAGTACTGGGATTAAATGTTTGCCACTTAACACTGTCCTGGAAAAGGAAAAGGTGGTTTTTTTGTTTGTTTGTTTGTTTTAAAACACTGTAAAATATTTTTTTTATTTTAAATTATGTGTATGTGTGGGCTGACAAGATGGCTTATCAGGTCAAGGCATCTGCGGTCAAGCATGATAATCCCCAAGTTCAATCCTACAGTCCCCAAGGTGGAAGGGGAGCCCTGACTCCTGAGTTGTCCTCTGACCTGCATACGCACATGTGACACACGTGCACACGCTAAGTAAGTAGATGTGATTTTCACATTATGTGTGCACGTGTTTGTGCATGTGTGTGAAAAGCCCCAGAGGACAGAAGAGGCTGTGGACCCTCTGGAGCTGGGGCACAGGCGGTGGGCAGTGGGCGCCCCCCTGATGAGTGCTAGGGATGGAACCTGGGTCCTGTTTGCGGCAGACACACTTGTCCCGCTGAGCGTCTCTGCAGCCCTGAGGAAAGTGGCCTGATGCTTAGTTTTGTTTGTCTTTTGCCTTTCAAATGCAGATACATGAAAATAAAAACCAGGAAATATTATTTGTTTTACAAACCTACCACCTTCTCTGCCACCGTAAAAAACAGGAATTTGGAGCTTTTAGCACTGAAAATATTGTAAAATGGGAGATATTCAAGGCCCACGTGACTTCCTGGGCCCTGGCCCAGCTTAACAAAGGACTTGACTTCACTAATAAAATTTCTACTGAACTTAAAGATACTTGGACATAGAAAATAACCGTACATGTGATAAAATTAGAAGTTAAAGGTGTGTTCCTTGACATTTCCAAGAATGTTTTTAATTTGAAAATTATAAGACCTAATAAACTTTGCTAAATCTAAAAAGTGCTACAGGATTTACAGGATTTATTTATTTAATTAATTAATTGGCAGTGCTGAGGATTGAACCTAGGACCTCATACATGTTCCCTAAGTGTGGTACCACCGAACTACATCCCGAGCACAGTAACTAATCTTTAATGTGCTTTTGTTTTTGCAGTGGAGTCTTCCTGTGTAGCCCACGCTGTCACTGACATCTAGCCAAGCTGGTCTCAAACACCTGATCTGTCTGCCACATCTGCCTTACAAAGCTTTGCGATGGCATCAGATAGGTTTAGAACGGTAGAGGCTGGCGAGATGGCTCATCAGTAAAGCGCACTGGCTGCTCTTGCACAGGGCCCAGGTTCAATTCCGCCCACTCACACAGCCGCTCACGACAGTCTATAACTCCAGTCATAGGGGATCCAGTGCTCTCCATAGACACAGGCCTACATTCAGACAAGACACACATTCAAAACACCCAGGCACATAAAATAAAACAATGATAATGATTTAAAAATTAAAAAAAAAAAGAGGTAGGCTGAGATGCCCTGTGAGGAGCGTACAGGCATTTTTTACAAGTATATCAGACTTGAAAATAAATCCATAAGCAGGATTATTTTTAGCAATATTTTAAATGTTTATAAAGCCATATATTAAACATGCTAAATCTGCAGAAAATTACAAAGGATATTGACTTAAGATTCAGCTATGCAAACACAAAGACATCTTGGCATACACTAAACACCCAACTGTAAGTACTTCAAGAAAATACTTAAGGTAGGACTTTGTCAGGGGATGTCTTCAGAGACAAGAGGAAGAGATTTCAA